TAGAGCGAGTTTCCTCCATTTCCTTAATCTACAAAAGTAAAGGAGTAAAGAGGAAAAGTAAAGAGAAAGTGAAGAGGTCGAATGGAGGAGGCTAGTTCTTTATCCTCGCGCTGCAGATGGTCTGTTTACTTGTTTTATTGGTAGTGAAGCGTTCAGTTTTTCCACTTAAAGTCCAGCATGTAAATAGCAAATGCACCATGGTGCAACGCAACCGACTCTTAAAGGGAATGGGCGATGAGACTCTGAATGGTTTAATGGTTGTTGTGCTCAAAACAGACTGCATTTTTCGGTCCTTAAAACCGCAAAAGTAGTAGTGCTAGTAGTGATTGTAGAAGTAGTTGTGGTTGTTGAAGTAATAGTTGTAGTAGATATAGTAATAGTAGACATCACTGGTGTAGTAGTATCAGAATTAGTAGATGCTGTAGTAGCAGTGGTTGTCGTTGGTGTAGTAGTATCAGAAGTAGCAGATGTTGTCGATGTAGATGTTGTAGTAGTGGTAAATGTTGTTGTAGTAGTATCAGTTTTAGTAGATGTAGTAGTATCAATAGTACTTGTCATTGTAGTAGTATCAGTTGTAGTAGACATAGTAGTAGTAGTAGTAGTAGTAGTATTAGTAGTAGACACTGTAGTAGTCGTCGGTGTGGCTGTAGTAGCAGCAGTAGTGGTTGTAACATTAGTCATTTTCTGTAGTATAAGTAGTTGGCTTATACTTGTAATTAATTATTATTATTATTGTTATGATTATTGTTGTTGTCAGTCATTATTACTGTTTTCCTTTTCATTATTATTATCATTACATTATCATTACATTACATTACTATCATTGTTGTCACTCCTTACCACAGATTTTTTTTCTCTATCTATTATATATATATATCCAAATAGTTACCTTTACATGTGCGCACACACACTCACACATTGTGTTTTCATGTTTTTGTTGTTGTTTTGTTCTTTTGCATGCGATCCCATTTTGTGTACTACTTGCATATATTAATAATTAAAAAAAAACAGCAAAAGTGGATTCGTACACACCCTTAATGCTTTTGCAACCTGCGCTTTACACTTTGTGCTTAGATTGTTAAAATAGAACCTTTTATCTCATTTAAATTTTAAGCGACAGTCACCAAAATGGCACATTTAGGATCAAAGCCTAAAAGTGTCAGTTTCAAAGAGCTATAAAACATTATTTGTGGAGTATTTTAGGCTAAAACTTCACATACACACTCTAGGGACATCAGAGACTTATTTTACATCTTGTAAAAGGGGGTATAATGGGCCCCCTTTGAAGCAGTTTGATACTGGATGTCCCACTGTGTAAACAAAACATACATTGACACAAGGATTGAAGATTTCTTGAGTAAATTTACTAGCTTTTCAAACGGTTCAAATGTGCAACCCCTCCAAAAAAAAAAAAAACAAACAAAAAAAACGCAGAGTAACAATTAACATTGATGTTAAACAGGACGAGTCACATTCAAAGGCATGAAATGAATAAAAAAGTAAAAATCTGGTCATGTGGGTCTAATACTATTAAAGGAATTTGATGTAAGAGCATTAGAAACCAACAGTGCACTTAATCTGCTGATAATTAGCAGAAACATCATAAAGTGGCTGAGCACTTGCTGTAGATTTACAGCACACAGACGGCCTCAAAACCACGGGGGGGGGCCGCACTTTCTGTTCACCCTTTCACTAAATTCCACCAAAACTGAAATCAGCTCTCCCTAAATGTGGGATTTTGCACCGAATTGAAAGCGTTCAGCAAGTCCAAATGTTTAATAAGGATTTAAAGGACTGATTCACCCAAAAAACGAACATCATGTACTTGCTTCCACTTCCTTCCACATCAGATTATTTCCCTAACGTAGGCTCGAAATGACAAGGAGGTGAATAAATACTGGGGCGGCCTAATTATGGTTACTTTAAATCATTGCTCTCAAATGTAATTAAATGAAAACAATGTCGTCTGAGAGCGTGCAAACACTGCTCCCAGATTTAACCAGTTAACGTGGGCTGCTTAAGGACGTGTTATGATTATACGTGTAATCTTGCGGCAGGAGCTCAGAGAACCACGGCCCAAAAGAATGTCTGGATTTGCCACAAATCTGGCACAACTGTGTCTAGACGAGACGCATTGAGTGTTGGAGTACGAAGTGTAACTGTGAGAGGTGTAAGTTTGAGTGCTTAAAAGGATTATTTATGACATTTATGCACTGTAAAACCTGATAAGTTAACTCAAATTGTTTGAGGAAACCAGTTTATAAAACATTTAGAGTATGAATAACTTAAATAATTTAAGTTCAGTTATCAAATCGGTATGATTTCAGTTAATAGAATGAACCCAGCATGCACAGGATGTCAATATGATGTCAGATGTACCCAAACATCATGGAGACGTTGCATTTTATTTGGAAATGAAGATCGGGTTGACGTCAGAACCCAACGTCAGGCCGACAACAATGTCCAACCTAAACTCAACCAAATATCAACATCTAATGATGTTACAGCTTAACGTTGTGTGGATGTTACCGCAATGATGTCTATAGGATGTTGGATTTTGGTTGCCATACCTCACTAATAAATGTCAGTATTTGACGCCAAGATGACATTGGTTTAAGATGCTGTCTTGATGTTGGATTTTGGTCACTTTCCAACACAATGTAAAATCAACGTCACTTGACGACATTGTTGGAAGTCAAAATAACGTTGTCTTTAGAAACTAGCTGGACACTGAATTTTGGTCGTAACGTAACGTAACGTTAATGTCTTATGACATTAGCCCCTTTCACACAGTGATACCGGTAAATATCTGGAAAATTTCCGGAACGACTTTACCGGTATATTCAAAAAAGAGCTGTTCACACAGGCGAGGACATTACGGAAATTTTCCGGAAAAGAGCATTCACACATCCATTCCAAAATACCGGTAAATTCTTACATCATTCACCACAAATGAGCTTTAAACGGCTGCGCTTGTATTTGTAAACATTTGACTAAATTACAAACTCTGTGGATGATCAATATTGTGAACAACTTTCGCAGGATCACTTTCGCATGTCGAGATGTTCATAATATGTGCGTGTGCAGGCGCTCACAGGCTGTTTCACAGGCACATGCAAAACTTGAAGGTAAACAAACAACGGCTTATCATAAGCATCTTATCGATGATTATTTACACAGTTGGCATTAAGAAGAACATATAAACATGATCTGACTAACTTCTAGCAGCTAAATGTGCCTGGAAAAATATTCAAAGGCTTTTATTCTCACAAACCGCACGGACGTAAATGCGTCTGACTGTTGTGATTAGCTAAAGCAGACGTCTCACGTCAGCACGTTCTAGACGTGCACGCGCTTATTACGGCAATCTTCCTTCTGCATTCACACAGCGCAGCATTCCGGCAAATTGTCGGTAATGTTACAACTTCTCTTTCCGGAAAATAGCCAGAACGAATTTACCAGTATTTTCAAAAAGGACCTGTTCACACATACAACCTTTCCGGAAAATTGCCGGCAATCTTCCGGAAAGGTTGTATGTGTGAAAGGGGCTATTGTGTGCCTGCTGGAAAGTGCAAACAACTATAGAGCTACTCAAATTCGTTTTGAGCTCTGCTTGATATCATCAGGTTGAAAGTCAAAGCAACTTTAAAAAAAACTATAAATAAACTAATATATTTCATCGTGTCAATTTTACTGTCAACTTTAAGAGTGTTATTTGACCATAGTGTCCTTGATGATGTCCCAATATGATTTTAGAGAATAAAGCAGTAAGCCTACAGTTTCAATATACTTCAGCTAAAGACAATGAAACTTTGTGTAAATATTTTATAGTGGATATTTGACTTGTGGTGTTGACGTTTACAGACATACAGTCAAACGAATTGTATGTCTGCACAAACAAGAAATCAAAAACGTGATCCTGACATATTCAAGAAAATTAATTAAATGGCCATTGATTAAATCAAATATGTTTTGATGTTTTAAAAAAAACTTATCTGATGCCCTTATGGGCTTTATTTGTATTTAACATTAACAAAATACGATAAAAAGATATTTGATTATATAGCATATATTTTCAAATGTCATTTATACTCGTGACTCAAAGCAGAATTTGTATGCATCATTACTCCAGTCTTGAATGTTACATAATCCCCCAGAAATCACTGCAATGAGGCCATTATCATTATTATGAAAGCTTTAAACATTTGTGCTGCAATATTTTGTACATTTTTTGCGGCAAAAGTTCAAAAGATCAACATTTACTTGAAACGAAAATCTTTTGCGACATTATAAATGTCTTTCCTGTGATTTTGTATCAGTTTAATCTGTCCTTGCTGAATAAAACAATCAATTTCTTCCCAAAATAGGTCATAACTACACTCTTTCAAAGTATTGTAAGTATAAAACAATAACAAGTGGAGTTTGCATATAAATATACACATGTTAGTTGGGTATGTTCTAACAAAGCAACAAATAAACTCTCAAAAATCGCACAATAACTCAAAATCGTCATGGCGGTGAATTCGTTACTACTATTTTTTAAATAAAGGCTGTTAAATTTACTGATCCCTAAAAATAATACCACAATATTCCTCATCCATCTTTTATAAATGCTTGCTGTCCTCTATATAACTACATTTAACTCAATGGTTTATTATTAAAAATGCATGAAATCCTGTTTTATCGATAATAAATAAATCTTTCAAATGAGAACAGTAGTGCAGATTTGACACTAGCGATTATATTTCCAGTTACTAAACTCTAGCACACCTCTGAAAGTTGCATAAAAGCCTGTGCAAACATTACTCATGATCGAGACAAAAAAAACAAAAAAACAATGTGATTGAAATTGAATGGTATTATAATATGCGGCCGAGTTTTAATTGAATATCAAGTTAAGGTGGTCCCATTCCATCAACATTTACTTTATGCGGACCAAATAAACACACAAGCTGTACTTCTGCCTATTAGAAAGCCAATGTGTGCAATATTATCCTTACCGCGGTAGACAGTCTGGATGCAAGGGTCATCTCCAAGTTCCCTTTCAGGCCCAGGAGAGCAGGCACAAGGATAAAGACTTCAGTCACCTCGGTGAACACTGTCCAGTGCTGTTGAGAAAGAGAAACACTTTTTAGTGTCTAAACATCACGGCCAAATTGCACTTAGAGATCTTCTGCAAGCCTAAAGACAGATTTTTATATGAGATCTGTTTGATATCATTAAATTTGATCATGAGCTGCAATTCAATAGGCTTAATTAAAGGAAAATTGATCCGTCTAGTCTACTCTGAAGTCACATATACTAGAATCCTGTGTTTAAATACTTTAAAAAACTAAAATCATGTTTCAAGTCAAATTTAAGACTTTTTAGGACCATTATGAATGAAATTTCATCATGAAATAATTAAACTATGTTGCTTAAAAGGGTTAATGATTTTCACTTTTGTTAAATTATTATTTTTTTTTATTGATTGTTGGTTGTACCGATTGAGTAACGTTACATGGACAAGGGAAAATAAAGACCTGTTTAAAATTATTTAAGATCTACATAATCATATTTCAGTAAATTTAAGACTTTTTAAGATCACGCAGACACTTCTGTCTAAAGCGACTTAAAATTAAGGAGGCATTTAGCGAATCAACCAAAGGCAATACACACAAGAAGTGCTGATTATACAAAGAATCTGTTAATGCTCAGAGAATTAAATTCTAGAGTAAGAAGGAAGGTGTTTTAGAGAGAAAAGTGTTTCTACAGGTGGTTTGTCAAGCCCACTCTCCTGTGTGAGGCACACTTCATAAATGCACAATGTTTTTTTTTTTTTTTTTTTTAGAGATATGGGGTGATTGATACAAATGTGCAAGAACTGGTGCAAGTGTCAGTTAAAGTGACAGAAAGATGAAAGTGTGTTTTTTCTACAGGTGGTTTGTCAAGCCCACTCACCTGTGTTTCACTCTTCATAAATGCACAATGTTTTTTTTTTTTTTTTTTTAGAGATATGGGGTGATTGATACAAATGTGCAAAAACTGGTGCAAGTGTCAGTTAAAGTGACAGAAAGATAAAAGTGTGTGTTTTCTACAGGTGGTTTGTCAAGCCCACTCACCTGTGTGCTTCACTCTTCATAAATGCACAACGTTTTTTTTTTTTTTTTTTTTTTTTAGAGATATGGGGTGATTGATACAAATGTGCAAGAACTGGTGCAAGTGTCAGTTAAAGTGACAGAAAGATAAAAGTGTGTTTTTTCTACAGGTGGTTTGTCAAGCCCACTCACCTGTGTGTTTCACACTTCATAAATGCACAATGTTTTGTTTTGTTTTTTTTTTGAGATATGGGGTGATTGATGCAAATGTGCAAAAACTGGTGCAAGTGTCAGTTAAAGTGACAGAAAGATAAAAGTGTTTGTTTTCTACAGGTGGTTTGTCAAGCCCACTCACCTGTGTGTTTCACTCTTCATAAATGCACAATGTTTTTTTTTTTTTTTTTTAGAGATATGGGGTGATTGATGCAAATGTGCAAGAACTGGTGCAAGTGTCAGTTAAAGTGACAGAAAGATAAAAGTGTGTTTTTTCTACAGGTGGTTTGTCAAGCCCACTCACCTGTGTGAGCCACACTTAATTACATAAATGTTTTGAGGTTGTCATGTGGTGTGCTGAGGGGCAGAGAAAAGGCGGTCCTGGTCTTGTTTACAGGGGTTCAGGTGATCGTGGAAGAGATGGGTTTTAGTTGTCATTTGAATGATACTAAATGTTATTCAGTGTAACAATAGAAGTCACAAAAATCATTTGATAACAATAAAAAAAATCTATTTACAGATTTGCACTAAAATAGTATCATCATGTTTCCCCTAAATTTTATCCTTCAAACCACAAGGTTTTAACCATATCCCTGCAATACGTTTTTGTAACATAAAATACAATACAATTAAATATGATCACTTATTCTTTTAGATATTTTAAGAAGTGTGGGTCAGAATAAGAATGCTATTGAATTTTTCCATGAAAATTGAGCATTATTTCAACCATATTTTGAAATTTTCACTGATGTATTTTGAAATATTTGCATTTAACATGCTTGCTATAAAATAAAATCATGTTTGTAAACCTAAATTAACGTGAACACCAAAATAGGAAGTCTAATTTTTGACTCTCAATTAGAAAATCCCGTTTTACATTTAACCTCTGAGCAATAAATCCTCCTGCATGTTAAATAAGCACCAAAATAACCAAATACTGCTCCTTTTACAACAAACGTTTCTACACTTTTAAGAGAGAAAAGCTGTGATAGCAGTGAACTTATCATCTGCCAATGTTAAACTCTGGTCAATTTCAGGTCTATTGACGACTTCGTCCATTTGATTCTCTTCCAAGCGTCTGACTTGAGACGGCTAATGTTGATGACTCTGGTAACTGGCAGGCTGTTTTTTTTCCATTAGGCTGCAGTGCCTTAGATGCATTGCAGCAGCGAGCGGTATAGATCAATACGTAGAAAGAGTGCTTATCTTTAGAGCCATTCCCACTGGTGCACAGCAATTACAGGCCTGACACTGACTAGCTAAATCAATTCTAGCATCTTGTCAGCACATAAAGATAGTGAGAAAGCACGGCGGGCACTGCTAACGTAAAGTTCGAGAAAAAGCGAAAGGTAAACATAAGACAACAAATCTACAAATAGCAGCAATAAGCACTAGTTGAAGAGTTCGAGCGTTGCAGCTTCCAATGGGTGGGTTTTAATGCCCGCTTCTTTTTCCTTGAGCCTTTGGCAGTGCAGGGGCCACTTTTAAAAAAAGGACAAACATCAATTGGGAGCTGGCGCTCAGCCACTTTGTGTTCGGTTCCCTTTGACTGAACCTCCTCTACTCTGTCTATCTCCCTCCCCCAGTACGATGTTGTCTTCAGGGGAACAGCGTAGTCCTGGCCAGTGCTTCCATGTGCCTCCATGGGTTCTGCGAATTTGACGCACAGCAGTGCAGGCATGCAACCGGAGGGGGGTCTCGGATTGCAGGATTGTGTAATGTTGGCTGGCAACGCTCCTCAGTTCCAGCACCTTGGTCTCCAAGGCACAGCGTATAAGGTCACAGAGGAATTCTGAAGACACTCTACAGACCTGGGTTGTGTTTAACACCGGTGAACCTGCAGTCATTTATGTGCATGCTTAAATATGCCTTATATTGCTGCAAGTATACAATATTACAGTTTTAAAAATAAGGCATAACATGTTAAAAAGTTTACAAATAGAGTAGTGGGGTTGCCCCAATGTAAAAGAAGAACCTTTTAGCAGAGAATTCTCAAAAAACCAAAAAAAGATTGTGTAACCCACTGGTCCTACTGCACCCAACCCGATCTGAGGTGGCATCGAACCTGCAATTCTTATAGCACATTCAGAGATTAGAAAACTGAGGTTTACCTGCAAAGCACTTCGCTAGCTGGCCTCCTTTACACTCACCCCCTAAACCTTACTCCCATCCCGGACGAGCCCCCACATGTAACCCACCAGTCCTACTGCACCCAACCCGATCTGAGCTGGGATCAAACCTGCAATTTTTTGTATGCGAGTCGGTTGCTCTCACAAGGTGGCTAAAGACCTCTAGCGTCTGTCTCTAAAGCACCTTCAGGGGGTCAGAGGACTGAGGTTTACCTGAAAAGCACTTCGCTAACTGGCCTACATTACGCTCACACCCCTAAACCTTAGTCCCATCCCCGACGAGCCCCCACATGTAACCCACCAGTCCTACTGCACCCAACCCACTCTGAGCTGGGATCGAACTAGCGATTCTTTGTATGCGAGTCGATTGCTCTACAAGGAGGCTAAAGACCATGACCTCTAGCGTATGGCACTATTGGTCAGAGGACTGAGGTTTACCTGCATAGCACTTCCCTAGCTGGCCACCATTACACTCACTCCCATCCCTGACGAGCCCCCACATGTAACCCACCAGTCCTACTACACCAAACCCGCAATGAACTTACGTTCTTTAAAAAAAAATCTTAAGAAACCCTTTTAACTAAAAAAAAACCTTGAAAATTTCCATTGGTGTTAACCCTTTATCGGATGAAGAACCATAAATAGTAACTTCATTGACCTTGTAACATGGAAAGTATGTTTTTAAGTCATAAAAGTTCAAAGTCTTGAAACAACCCCCAATTACACTTCAGGGTTTTTGCAATGAGTATTTCAATGACTCCATTATAAAGGCTTAAAGGCTCTTAATTGAACAGCAATGAAGGGACTAAATAACATTTTGTCCAGTGAAACACACAAAGATATTTTGAAGAAAGCTGGAACAGCACAGCCAGATCTATATAATCTATAGTTTATAGTCTTAGTGACACTACAATATGAAATAATCTCTTATCTTTGCATGACACATTGACGTTATAGTACAGAATGGCTCTTTTGGCATTATCTTGAGCATAGTAAAACTCATGGGGTCAAGGAAGGTCTCATTTTTTTAAAGTTTTCTAACAAGTGGTAATATACATGTATCATGACTAGTTTTGGGTAAGTTACTTAAAAAAGTAATAGATTACAAGTTACTGACTACTTCTGGAAAGTTGTAATTTGATTAGATTACTGATTACTTCATGTAAAAAGTAATCAGATTACTAATTATTTTACTTTGAAGTTACTTTTAAAACATATAAAAATACTAAATAAACTGTAGCTCTTTCTGTAATTTAATATTCACTGAAAAACATTAAAATGGGTTGATCACAGGAGCTTGACATATTCAAAAGACTAAAAGAGATAATTTTAAGTTTTGGGTGAACTATCTCGTCATTTACTTAATCTTCACTTGTTCCAAACTTGTTTGCCTTTTGTCGTTGTTGTAGTTCTTTTGAACACAAATCAAGACAATTAGAAAAAAAACTAATATATTTAACAATTGACATTCATAGTAGGAAAAACACACAGCTCACTATATCTGCAGTTGTGAACACAAACTGTAAACGCTCAAACGTTGAATCAGTGAAATCTGGAATACATGAGTGAGGTGTGCAGCTGGAGCACGACATGCTCATCCCTCCTAATATGCATGCGCAAGATGCGTCTCTATTAAAAATAACAAACTTGACCATACAAAAGACGCAATATATGAAAGGCCCATGGCAC